TTATATTGCAGACTGAAAGTATAACGATTCGTAGTTAAAGAAAAGTTATTTATTTAATATGGCATCAAGAGGTTATTTGCATCTAGCTGTTTTATTTTGCTTCATGTGCGGACAAATCATAAAGACAAGAGTCAAAAAGTATTCCGTGGAAGCAAGTCATATAATGCGCGAGGCCTCCAAGGCATACATCCGCGTGCCGGTTGGGGACCAAGATAAATCTTGGGCACCGCAGTTCACATGCTAATATTGCAAGAAAACACTTGAAGGAAAAATGAACAGTTGCTTCTCGCATAGAGCTGTTTTAGTTTATTTTCAGAAAATTTCAATGCTTTTAATCTAATTCATTTCAAGGAGTTGTAATTTAAAAAGTTTTGTCGTGTACTGTAGGCAAATACGTTCTATCTTGAAATCGTTCCATAATTTAAATTTCCTGTCCTTAAATTATTACAACTGTTATGTATTATTATGTGTTATGTTACTGGTTGTTACAGACGAGAGAAGCGAGCCATGAAGTTTGCTATCCCGCAAATATTGCTTCCAATACCGGTAATATTTTAATACCGGTATTTCGGTACTGAATAATTTCAATACCGGTATTAAATTTTTTTTTTTAATTTGTCATAATATGAATAAAATTTTAAATTTATTGATTCAATAAGCTTATTTATTTTATATCAAAATAACTGACTTTTTCGATTTTCGCTTTTTTTTCCGTTTGTAAAATGAGCATGTAAGAAACTTAGAGAGTTTAGAGTATCATCCTCAAAAGATAATTGTAACTTTGTGAAAATGTTGTTACTTGCTGAAAATAAACACTCCGATTCGGTACTTATTGATTTCACACTTTTCAAATATTTGTAGGAATTTTGCAAATAAATGCTTATTACATATAGATTCTCATTACATTTGTTTTTGATAACATATTCAAAACTTTGAATATGTTATCAAAAAAAAAACTTTCAATAAAAAAAATCATTTTAAATAACGTTATCGAAAAAATATCATTTTAATAAATATCATTTTAATAACGTTATTTAAAAAAAACTTTTAATCTTTCCTTGTTGTTACATTTCTTATTTTTTAATATTGCTTTTCTTTTAATAAAAAGATTACAGCCGGTCATTCAGTTAAGCAATAGTATTTACAATGGCTGATTTGCTAATAGTATTTACAATGGCTGATTTGCTCAGAAGATAGTGCTGGATCCAAATTCTTGTAACGTTGATGGCCTGTGTGCAGATATTGTAGTAAGCTCGAAAAAGATGTACGTTGCTCATTGAACCAACGCACCAACATAACTTTTAACTTTACACCTAATTTGGTTTCTCCAAGGTTATCGATCATGAATATTGGTGTCGTATCGGCTGACAATAGTGTTGCATCATTTCGGCACAATGTTTTACGACCAATTTTATTGGCGCAAGACATAAAGCAACAGCTAAAATTGCATAGAACTTTTTATCCAGTTACCTCAACTTTGGAATCAAGGTAGAAGAGTTACTTGCAGTGAATCGAGCTTTTCAGTTTTACGAAACGTTTAAGCATTGTGTGCTACTCCAGCGAGTTTTGGAGTCAAGTATTTGTCTAATGCCTATTTTTAAAGTGTTTGATCATTTTTTATTAAAGAGCGGCAAAACAACATCACAACGGTGCGCATCTTATTGATTAACGGCTGAAACGCGCGCTTGGTTAAAACAGTTAGCATTCTAATATAGAAATCAGCTACTCCAAACTTTTTATTTTTTACGTTAGCGCAAAACTTAAACATTCATTCTACCATATCCATAAAAAATAGATTTTTTATGTCTATATATTATGTATATATATTAAATCTATTTCTTACGACATATGGTTCTACAAGTGAGTGATAATACTTTAAATGAAATATTTCATTTACTTTCGTGTTTCACATAAAGAGAACGATTGGATCCGCTATATCGCAAGCCCTCTACATATATTTTTAATATCGGTATTGAGCCAAACCAATAACGGTATTTCGGTACCTGAAAAACCTGGTAATATCGGTATTGGTACTACCTACATTGGAAGAACTACCCGCAAATTTGGCGCGAGCCGACAGACCAATCAAGCAACTGCTATTTCTGATGGTAAACCCAAAAAAAGTTGCACCGGCAAAAATGCTTCTCAGATCGTTCCTCCAGACATACCACCCAACCTAAATCTGCTTGTTCCGACTCCTGGGAGGCATTGGCCAATTTTAGGAGACAACAGCAAGTCAGATAGCAAGGCAAATACTGGACATATGGACTACGATTCTGCAAATAAAATTGGGGATAGAAAACCGTACTTCCTAAACCAAAAAGACGTGAACAATTTAATTAGGAACTTCGGGCTTAAAAAATCAGCTACAGAGCTTCTGATATCCAGGCTCTAACAGTAGAACAGTGGTCTCCAACTTCTTCAGTTAACGTGATGGGCTGCGCTTCTACAACGATGTTGCCGGTCTGTTACAGGCTATAGATATTGCATGTAACCTTAT